GGTGGTTGCGTTGTCGGCTGTGGTCGGCTGCGGCGCTGTCTTATTGGAAATTCCAATAGATCTGGCTCCGTTAGAGGGTCTGGTGGTTGCGTTGTCGGCTGTGGTCGGCTGCGGCGCCGTCTTATTGGGAATTGCAATAGATCTGGCTCCGTTATAGAGGGTCTGGTGGTTGCGTTGTCGGCTGTGGTCGGCTGCGGCGCTGTCTTATTGGGAATTGCAATAGATCTGGCTCCGTTAGAGGGTCTGGTGGTTGCGTTGTCGGCTGTGGTCGGCTGTGGTCGGCTGCGGCGCTGTCTTATTGATTGCAATAGACCTGGCTCGGTTAGAGGGTCTGGTGGTTGCGTTGTCGGCTGTTGTCGGCTGCGGCGCTGTCTTATGGGGAATTGCAATAGATCTGGCTCCGTTAGAGGGTGTGGTGGTTGCGTTGTCGGCTGTTGTCGGCTGTGGTCGGCTGCGGCGCTGTCTTATTGGGAATTGCAATAGATCTGGCTCCGTTAGAGGGTCTGGTGGTTGCGTTGTCGGCTGTTGTCGGCAGTGGTCGGCTGCGGCGCTGTCTTATTAGGTTAGAGGGTCTGGTGGTTGCGTTGTCGGCTGTTGTCGGCTGCGGCGCTGTCTTATTGGGAATTCCAATAGATCTGGCTCCGTTAGAGGGTCTGGTGGTTGCGTTGGAAGCTGAGAACTGGCGACTTTGTAGTACAACTGTAGTACGCGGAGTAGCTGTGGAGCTGGAAGCTGAGAACTGGCGAGTTTCTAGTACAACGTTAGTCCGCGGAGCGATCTGTGGAGCTGGAAGCTGAGAACTGGCGACTTTGTAGTACAACTTTCGTACGCGGAGTAGCTGGGGAGCTGGAAGATGCGAACTGGCGACTTTGTAGTACAACTTCTGTACGCGGAGTAGCGGGGGAGTGGGAAGATGAGAACTGGCGACTTGGTAGTACAACTTGAGTACGCGGAGTATCTGGGGAGCTGGAAGATGAGAACTGGTGACTTTGTGGTACAACTTTAGTACGCGGACCAGCTGGGGAGCTGGAAGATGGGAACTGGCGACTTTGTAGTACAACTGTAGTACGCTTAGTCGCTGGGGAACTGGAAGCTGAGAACTGGCGACTTTGTAGTACAACTTTAGTGCGCGGAGCAATCTGTGGAGCTGGAAGCTGAGAACTGGCGAGTTTCTAGTACAACTGTAGTACGCGGAGCAATCTGTGGAGCTGGAAGCTGAGAACTGGCGACTTTGTAGTACAACGGTAGTACGCGGAGTAGCTGTGGGGCTGGAAGCTGAGAACTGGCGAGTTTCTAGTAGAACTTTAGTCTGCAGAGCAATCTGTGGAGCTGGAAGCTGAGAACTGGCGACTTTGTAGTACACCTTTCGTACGCGGAGTAGCTGGGGAGCTGGAAGATGAGAACTGGCGACTTTGTAGTACAACTTTAGTACGCGGAGTATCTGGGGAGCTGGAAGATGAGAACTGGTGACTTTGCGGTACAACTTTTGTACGCGGACCAGCTGGGGAGCTGGAAGATGGGAACTGGCGACTTTGTAGTACAACTGTAGTACGCTTAGTAGCTGGGGAGCTGGAAGCTGAGAACTGGCGACTTTGTAGTACAACTTTAGTACGCGGAGCAATCTGTAGAGCTGGAAGCTGAGAACTGGCGAGTTTCTAGTACAACTGTAGTACGCGGAGCAATCTGTGGAGCTGGAAGCTGAGAACTGGCGACTTTGTAGTACAACTGTAGTACGCGAAGTAGCTGTGGGGCTGGAAGCTGAGAACTGGCGAGTTTCTAGTAGAACGTTAGTCCCCGGAGCGATCTGTGGAGCTGGAAGCTGAGAACTGGCGACTTTGTAGTACAACCTTCGTACGCGGAGTAGCTGGGGAGCTGGAAGATGCGAACTGGCGACTTTGTAGTACAACTTCTGTACGCGGAGTAGCTGGGGAGTGGGAAGATGAGAACTGGCGACTTGGTAGTACAACTTGAGTACGCGGAGTATCTGGGGAGCTGGAAGATGAGAACTGGTGACTTTGTGGTACAACTTTAGTACGCGGACCAGCTGGGGACCTGGAAGATGGGAACTGGCGACTTTGTTGTACAACTGTAGTACGCTTAGTCGCTGGGGAACTGGAAGCTGAGAACTGGCGACTTTGTAGTACAACTTTAGTGCGCGGAGCAATCTGTGGAGCTGGAAGCTGAGAACTGGCGAGTTTCTAGTACAACTGTAGTACGCGGAGCAATCTGTGGAGCTGGAAGCTGAGAACTGGCGACTTTGTAGTACACCTTTCGTACGCGGAGTAGCTGGGGAGCTGGAAGATGAGAACTGGCGACTTTGTAGTACAACTTTAGTACGCGGAGTATCTGGGGAGCTGGAAGATGAGCACTGGCGACTTTGTAGTACAACTGTAGTACGCGGAGTAGCTGGGGAGCTGGAAGCTGAGAACTGGCGACTTGGTAGTACAACTTTAGTAGATTATGCCCCATATTGCGGACGCGCGACAACCGCTGGGGTTGTTGGCTAGTTGTGGCTGCGCACACCACTGTGCACAAAACCTCGTACATCCGTCGTGCACATCACTCTCTTACATCTTCTCTCCCACCCCTCTGTTGTCGGAGGCTGATATCACTTCCTGACAAGGCCATGTTGTAGAAGCTATTGAGACTCTGACTGCTTTGTGCTTTAGAAACTTAAGATTCGTAAAGATTCATATGTGGGGTTATCCGGTCCTTTAATTTCAATCTCGGATGCTTTGGGTTGCGTTTCGTGGCGGTCCGGCGGCGCTGCCCCCGGCCTTAAGAGAGAAAGTTAAGAAGAGCGAGAGGTGAAGATGTGAGATGTAGATGTGAGGATGTGAAGATGAGCAGAGATGTAGATGTGTGAAGATGAAGATGAGCTGAGATGTAGATGCGAGGATGTGATGTGAAGATGAGCAGAGATGTAGATGTGCAGATGTGAAGATGAGCAGAGATATAGGTGAGAACGTGATTGCGCAGAGGTGAAGATGTTTAGAGGAGGTGTAGTTCTGCAGATGTTTTTTACGAAGAACCCTTCGCAGGCGCTCTCGGGAATAAGACGTTTCTACAAAAACCTCTTACCACGAAGCCACTTACCCAACACTTAAATTCCGTCGACTATGGCGCATTATATCACTGCCTTGAAGTCCTGCGTAAACCCGGAAGTCATCTCGGGCATACAGCTGTTCGCACTGCGCTAATTCCACGGCGTTCTTGTTGATGTAGCTCTCTGCCGCAGCTGAAAACACAGCGGGCCTAATGACAAAATCCACCACGAGGTTCTGAGCATGTTGTTGCAATTGGCTTCATCTGGGCACACTGCCCCTGGAGCTGAAGCTGCACCAAGTGACCAACAAAGGCCTGGTATTTATGCGCAAGTTCACTCGACTTGGGCGGCGCTCACTCAACATGGCCCAACATTGCAACAACGCAAAAGGGCTGATAACCCTCCCAACCTCCGTCGAAGACTTTCCACGACATGTTGCCCGCTCCGCGCACAGCTCTGCAACACTCAAATAGTTCGAAATTTCTTGCCTCAACCTGCAGGGACAGCGATTGGACCCTTGACCATTTCACTACATCATGTTTCTTCGCATATTTGGACACTCCCCGCCATACTATCGACTGGCGTACAAGACAGCACGACTCGAAGCGAAGCAGATTTGCAAACTTTTGCTGCCCCAGGCACTCGGCAGATGCCGTTCCCAAGCCGATTGGCTCCTGGCAGGTTGCGATCTGCATGGTTAACTCTGGCCCTTGAATCGGAACCCCGACCACTCTGTGGACCACTTAGATTTTAGAAAACCGTTCTCCGGCTCTTATAGCCAGTACTACTCTGCTGCAGCTCCAAACCTCGTCAAGCTCTATCTTCAACTCTTCTACATCCTGCGTTTCCTGCAGACAGCATTTCCAGAGCTCAGGCCGTAGGATTTGCTTCAGTTTGAATCACACACCCAA